GGCTGCTAGTCACTGCTAATAAACCTCATTTGCCATAAGGCCTCACGTGCCTAGAGGTTTGAATCCCAACTCAGCCCTCTCATGAGTTGTGACCTTGAACATGTCACTTCATCTCTGAAAGCCTATTCAGTACGTATGCATGGTGCCGACCGCCACTCCAGGCATTAGCTCCTCCTGGAGATTAATTTGAGCTGCAGCTTTAGGAAGGACAGAAAGAAGTTGCGCACAGGGCTTAAGTGCAAAGCGCCTGTGCTGCAGGGGGAAAGCAGCACCTATTCCTCAGTTGGGAGAGGGTCAGTGGCCCAAGGTAGAGCAGTCCTAGGCCCGAAGGCGCGTCTCCGGGCTTCTCTCGCCCTCCATCCCGAACGCAGGCGGCGGGAGTCCTGGGCAGCCAGAATCCAGGACCGGGAGAGCGCAGGAAGGTCGGACTACACAAGACCCTGCAGCAAGAGTTCAGCGGGCCTGAACGGAGGCCGCGGTGAAGCCCCCCGGGAGGGGGTGGGCGGCTCCGCACCCCCCTCCCTTCTCAGTGAGGCTCTGAGCTCTACAGCAGCCTCTGCCTCCAACGCGGCGTCCAAATAGAAGGCCGGAACTTACCAACAGAGGCCATCTTGGAGTCCTGGTGTCCGCTAAAGTGGGCCGCGCAAGGGCTGCTGGGTAGAGAGCATAAGTGGGCGCGGAGAGCAGAGGCTCATGGGAAGGAGGTCAACGGTGCCACTAGGCTGGAACTGTAAAGGTGCCTTGAAAAGAAGGGCGACGTTCCTTGGAATTTAAACACCAGGGAATCCACTGTTATTGAGGAGGCGCCTTAGCCTTGTGTCCTTATTCCAGTAGCCTGCAGTGGACTAAAAAAAGAAAAAAAGTCGGCCTTGAAATAGAAGGTAGAGCAAGGACAAGTAAACAGAAAATTGTATCAAAACCAGGCAAAGTGGCACACGCCTGTATTCCCCAGCATTCGGGAGGCAGAGGCAGGAGGATCACTGTGAGTTCGAAGCCAGCCTGAACTACATGGTGAGATCCTGTCTCAAAAAGAAAAAAGAAAAGAAAAAAAATGCTGTATGATAAAGAATTTAGAAACCATACTAAGGACTACTACATAAAGTCCTAACGGATGAAAGTCACCCCGCCTCCTGCCTTAAAGGTCCCCTGGCATGTGCAAAACCAAAAGTACCTGCCCCTGGCCTATGTCTAACCTCATTTGCATTGAGGTTTTGAGACCCCCCACCCCACCCTGTGGGCTTTGTACTCCTTGACAACCTTGTACAACCAAAAACTACTCCCCCCAAGGGTGGGCTAGTCGGGTACCCTTTGGGCTATGCCTAATGTTAATCCCTCAGTGGGTGCTCCTATAACCCCAGGCCAGGTCTTTAAGAGATACAGGACCTGCCCCTGTCAGGCTAGAAACCCTTCCCACTGGCTTGCTTCCGCTCTGTGAAGTGTACCTTTATTTGTTTTCAATTTTTGTTTTGTTTGTTTGTTTGGGACAGAGTCTCACTATGTAGTCCAGGCTGGCTTCATACTCGTGGTGATCCTCCTGCCTCACCCTTCCCAATGTTGGGATTATAGGTATGTGCCACCATGCCTGGCCTCTTTCACTTTTTGTGTGTGTGTGTGTGTGTGTGTGGTACTGGGTATTGAACTCAGGTCCTTGTGCTTTCAAGGCAGGCAGTGGAACCACTGAGCTAAATCCCCAGCCCTCACTTTTAATAAATATTATGCTTGTTAATCATATTGAGTGTCCTGCTCCATTCTTTGTTCAGGTTACCAGAACCTGGAAATGACTCCAACCCCTTTGTATCTGGTAACAGCCATGGTGGCACAGGCCTGTAATCCCAGCACTCTGGAAGGTGAAGGCTGGATAATAGCAAGTTAGAATACCCCTGAGCAATTTATCCAGATCCTATTTCCAAATAAAAAATAAAAAGTGCTGGGATGTAGCTTTGTGTGAAGGCCCTGGGTTCAATCCTCAGTACCGGAAGGGGAAAAAGGCATTTTAATTTTCTTACCCATAAATTTGTTGTGAGAAACGAGAGAGGCATATCAAGAACCTTCCTCTCAGAGGTGCTGGATAGGAGGTAAGTCCAACTCTCAAGGAATTCACTGACACAGAAGGTCGTGTCCAAACAAGCTCCAAAAAGATTTGATTTAAGTGCACTCAGTGTGTCCTGAGAACAGATATATGACCCTGGGGGGGTACTGGCAAAGGTAAACAAAGCTAAAACTGGGCAAGGTGGCACCTGGGTAATTTAGCAACTCAGAAATTCCCTGTCTAAAACTTTAAAAGAGTTGGTGATGCAGCTTAGTGTGAAGGCCCTGGGTAACAAAAACAAACAAATGAAAAACAAAAAATAAAACTAAGCTCACTGTTCATGTGCTAAGAACAGATTTTAATCAGTACTACAGGGTTGCAAACAGAAATGAATCCAGGAGGTGCAGATGAAAACAACACTGAGATTCCACCTCACCCCACAAAGAATGGCTGCTATCAAGAAATCAACCAATAACAAATGCTGGCAGGGATGTGGGGAGAAAGGAACCCTTCTCCATTGTTGGTGGGAGTGCAGACTGGTGCAACCACTGTGGAAGTCAGTATGGAGATACCTAAAGAACTAGGACTAGAGGTCATTTGACCCAGCTATTCCCCTGCTGGGGATCTTCCTAAAAGAATTAAAAGAATCATACCACAGCAATATATGTGCACCCATGTTCACAGCATCACAGTTTATAATAGCTAAAGTTTGGAAACAGCCCAAGTGCCCATCAACTGGAAACTGGATGAAGAAGATGTGGTTTTTTCATAAAATGGAGTACTACTCAGCCATAAAGAACCAGAAACTAGAGACATTTATAGCTAAATGTATGCATATTGCGGCCATACTCTTAAGTGAAATAAATAGGACACACATGTATAAATACCGAAGTTTCTCTAGTGTGAGAAACTGAAAGTGTAAATAAGGATGAAAATGATTAAAATGAATAATTGATAATTTGAAATAGGAAAAGGTCCAAAGGTATAGGGGTGGCGGGAGGGGGAGGGGAAAGGGAAGAAGGGAAAGGAAAAATTATGAGAAAGAAAAAAATGTAAACAAAGTCTTATGTAAATAGGGAAGGGTGCACAGGTAATGGGGAAAAAGAAGTAAGATACATCATGTTCAGGTACAAACACCCAATGACAAATGTAAACCTAAAATGTACCAACTCATATATAAATTTAAAAAAAGAAAAGAATCCAGTATGAATTGAACTCAAATTTGATTGGTACAGAGGTGACTGAGCATTTTATACAGGGAAGGAAAGCACTCAGTAGAGTCAAGGAAGTGAAAAAATATCCCCGCCCCAAATCTGGAAGGGATTTGGACTATATGAAACCCATCTGGGCTTGCCGACTGGCACTAATGGAAGTTTAGGGCAAGTTGAGAAGCAGGCTCACAGGAGCCTGCTGTAGTTTGGTCAAGGAGATAATCTTGTCAGCTGAAGGCTGGAGCTCTTCCTTCTGCCACGAGGATGTCTCACCACCGCCATCTTGTTTTATTCTGGAAAACCACAGTCTGGTGTAGGTGACCCAGGACTCAATAAAGAATACCTAGAATATATAAAGACTCAAACAAAACACAACAGACCCCCCCAAATTTAAAGACCCAATCCGAAAATGGGCATCTGAAATGAATAGACACTTCTCAGATGAAGAAGTAGAAACTCCAAATAAACATATGAAAAAATGTTCAGCATCACTGGTCATTCACGAAAGGCAAGCCAGGAATGGTGGCACATGCCTGCAATCCCACCCCACAGGAGGGTGAGGCAAGAGGATTGCCATGAGTTCGAGGCCAGCCTGGCTGTATAGTGAGTTCAAGGTGAGCCTGAACTACATAGCAAGACCCTGTCTCAAAAAAAAAATTTTTTTTTAATGCAAATTAAAATAACACCATCTCATTCCAGAAAGAATGGGTATCATCAGGAAATCAACCAGTAACAAATGCTGGCAAGGCTGTAGGGGAAAAGGAACCCTTCTCCACTGTTGGTGAGAGTGTAAATTGATACAAATACATGGAAATCAGTGTGGAGATTCCTCAAAACACTAAAACTAGAGGTTCCATTTGGCCCAGCTATTCCCCTTCTTGGTACTTCCCAGAAGAATTTAAAGCATCATACCACAGTGATACATGCATGCCCATGTTTATAGCAGCACAATTTATAATAGCTAAATCTGGGCTGGGGAGTTAGCTCAGTGGTGCCACCGCCTGCCTTGCAAGTGCAAGGTCCTGAGTTTGATCCCTGGTACAAAAAATAAAATCAAAGATGTAATAATAAATCTTGGAAACAGCCCAGATGCCCATTAATGGATGAATGGATAAATAAATGTGGTTTTATTATACAGTGGAGTACTACTCCCCCATAAAAAAGGATAAAGAAGGTAAATGGGTGCACCTTGAGACCATAATTTTAGGTGAAATACATTGGACACATATGTTTAAATATTGCATTGTTTCGCTTGTGTGAGAAACTTGAAGGGTCAGTAAGGACCAAAATGGATGACAGACATTGTGAAGTAGGAAGAAAATGTTCAAATGAGAAGGGGAACAAGCAAGGGAAAGGGAGGAAATAGGGATATAAAAAAAACAATGGAAGGAAAAAGGGAGCAGGGAAGAAGGACTGAAGCAAAGGGAGGGGAGGGAATGGGAAAAAATAGAATTAAGATATATTATGTACAGGTACAAATTCCCTATGATGAATGTGATTATTACGTATGCCAAAAATGTACTAATAAAATTAATTTTTTAAAGAATGTAAAATATCACAGAGTTGCTTAGTTGATGACACTGTTTTGCATTTATAATATTACTAAACAAAACCTACACCTATTCTGAATAAAGACACACAAAACAAAAAACAGAAAAAAGTCTGTATATTCAGCTTTTCATTGCTGTGACCAAATACAGGGTATGATCAAAAAATACAGTGCATGTTTAAATTAAAAGAAAACATATTACAGTAAAAGAAACATTATCATTAATCCCCCTCAAAATACTCCTTCTCCCAGCTGGGCATGGTGGCCCACGCCTGTAATCCCGGCTCTCGGGAAGTTGAGGCAGGAGATTGCCAGGAGTTTGAGCCAGCCTGGGCTACGCAGTGAGGTCAAGGGCCCTCTGCACTACAAACAAGACCCTGTCTCAAAAAACCAAAAACCAAACCAAACCAAAACAGAACAACAGTCCCCCTTCCTTTGCACACATTTATTCCATCATTCTTGCCATTTCCTAGAGAAGTTCTGGAAATCCTCTTATAAACATCTTCAGTTGTGCTGTTATGGCTGTTTTAATGTCCTGAATTAGTCTGAAACCTTTACCTTTCACTGGTCGTATTGACTTTGAGGAAGAGCCAGAAGTTGCATAGTGCCAGATCCAGTGAAGAAGGTGGATGAAGACAAACCATCACGTTTTTACAAGTCTCCTTTTCAGTTAGATAGCAGCACTGGGCAGCAACATACACAATATTTTTGATCACACCTCACAGTCTCAGAGGTTCCAGTCCATGGTCAGCTGCTTTGAAGGCAGACACATTATGGCATAAGAGCATGGAAGAAAGAAGCTGCTCACTTTACAGCAGCCAAGAAACACAGAGTCAGGGAAAGAGGTGGAGAAGAAGGGCATAGGGACCAGATCTAGTGCCTAAGGCCACAACCCCATTGTGGAATGAACTAGAACCAGAACCAGGAAGCAGACAGCACCCAGAGGTTTGGAAGCAGTAAACAGCTTTATTTACACTGGCGGACCCGGACCAACCAGGATTTTTCCCCAAAGAGGTCAGGTCTAGAATATTGGCGGGCCGGCAGTTTTGTAGGGTTGCAAGCAGGAGGTATAGAAGCAGAAACAGAGGATTGGTTAGTTAATTCCATTGGAGTTTCCCTGGAAATATAGCAAGCAGGATTTTCACAAAGCAGAGCGGGGCCGGGTGGCAAAGAGTTCTGGCAGCACTTTCTGAATCCGTTATGCTCCTTTGGCAATAGATTATAGAAGTTGTCATGGCTACTCAGGTACATTCTACAAAGGGCGTAATTACCTAGTTAACTGATAATTGTTTAAACACAGTTAATACATAGTTGTCCAATTCAATTATTTTTTTGTTAAAAGTATCCATATTCCTGGGGCCGGGGATTTAGCTCAGCGGTTTCACCGCCTGCTGTGCAAGCGCAAGGACCCAAGTTCGATCCCCAGTACCAAAAAAAAAATCCATATGCCTGGAAATTCCCTTTCATCATGACCTACCCACTCACAGAACTGTGCTTTCCTAATATCCTAGATGTCTCTGAAGCCAAGAAGGATTAATCATCAAACAACCCCAGTTTATAATTTTTTCTAATTGTTCTTCAAGTACTGGTTTTTGTTTGCTTTTGTTTTTGCAGTGCTGGGGATTGCACCCAGGGCCTATGAACACCATGAAAGCACATGCCAAGTACCACATGCAAGCCCTGTTGCTCATTTTTATCTATGTATATACTTATATTTTTTATACTGGGGATTGAACCCAAGTACTGAAATATTGAACTTTCACACTGAACTATGTCCTGAGCCCTCTTTTATTTTGAGATAGAGTCTGGCTACGTCACTAAATTGCTCAGGCTGAGACTTGAACTTGCAATCCTTCTGCCTCAGCCTCCCAGACAGCTGGGATTACAGATATGTGCCACTACTCCCCACTTAAAATGGTTCATTTTGCTCGGTGTGATGATGCACACCTGTAATTCCAGTACTTGGGAGGCTGAGGCAGGAGGATCACTGTGTGTTTGAGGCCAGCCTGGGCCACACAGTAAGTTCAAAACCAGCCTGAATTACATAGTGAGACACTGTCTCAAAAAACCAAAACAAACAAAAAGAATTAATTATTGACTCTCAAAGCTCTCTATTAAACCACAGCAGATATTAACAACAATATATACATATTTTTACCAAATCCCTCAATGTGAACCTTTTGTTGAGGGAGGGGGTCTCATTATGTTGTCCAGCCTGGCCTTGAACTTCCCTTCTTGACTCAGGCTCCTGAGTACCTGGGAATACAGGCATAAGCAACCATGTGTGAGTAACTTGATTCATTTTGGTATTTTGTTTGTTTTTCATATTTCACATTGCTAGTCCTATGTCATCCTTGCTGGCTTTAACATCTTTATCATTTTCATACTTTTTTATTTGTTATTTTTAACACTTATTTATTTATTTATTTATGGAATACTGGGGACTAAACCCAGGGCCTTCCAAATAAATTGATTTAGGCTCCCCTGAGCTACATCCGCAGCTATTTTTTTTTTATATTTCAGAGACAAGGTCTCCCTCAGTCATTAAATCTGGGAGTGCTAGGATTACAAGTATGCACCACCATGAAATCCAGCACTCAGGAGGCTGAGGCAGGAGGATCACTGTGAGTTCAAGACCACCCTGGGCTACCTAGTGAGTTCAAGGGCAGCCTGAACTATAGGGTGAGACCCTGTCTAAAAAACAAAAACCAAAAAGACAAAAACTGAAATCCATTTCAGTTGCTTGGGTGGTGCACACTGCTTGACAATGCCTGAGGGCATAATCCCTAAGCAACTGGACTCAAGAAAGAACCTGCATATGAGCAAGGGGCTATAAATGCCCACCCTTTGGAGCTGGGCACCTAGCAGCCAGCCTAGGGCCTGCCACCTGTGGTACAAGGACCAGGATTTTCTAGAGTCACAGTGTCCAGCCCTGGGCAGAGAAGGGATCCCATGTGGGTGTAAGGGTCAGGGGGAGTGGATGTCACTGGAGACCCATGCAGTAAGTCCCAGCCTCCTGTGAGCCACCCACTGGCTAAAGAATAGACAGAATGAGACTTATTGTGAAGCTGTCTTGGGTCTTGATCAGTGCTGCTCTAGGCAACAAAGACAAAAGCCTTCAAGTGCATCCAGCATTTATTGAATACAATCATGAGAAGGAATAGGGAGCTAGGGAGTTTTGAAGTCATCTAGTGAATTACTGCTGAACACCTGGCATGATGGCACCAGGCAGGGGTGTTAGGGAGTAGGTACTGCTTGCTAGGATACAAGAAACCAGTACTGGGACCAGGCACAATCAGTAAGCAACCCACAAGGTCAGTGAGAAGCCATAGTTCAGGGAAAACGATTTTAATTGGGGTCACGCTGACCTCAGCTGTCCACATAACTCAGCAGTCCTGCCACTTCACAGACCAGGAATTAGGCCTCAATGACAGCCATTAGCAAAGGAGCAATACTAGCCCAACTCTGCTAGCTGACATGCCTGTTTGAGTCATGCAGGGCTTCGGTCTGACTCCTGATATAAAACAATATAGCTGAATTATGGGAGGCAAGAAGCATTTGCCACTCATAGCGGGCTAGTGCAGGGCAGGGATGTCTGCTACATCGGGCACCTCCCAGCTCACCCTGGATAGCCAGTTTCACTGACTACTGTCCTTGGCTTTGGCAGTGCTGAGTTGGGTCCAGGGACTGATCCAAGGTCCCATCTGGAAAGGGAGAACTCAGAAGGCAAGCAGCACATAGGTCTTGCTGAAGTCGGGGTTCAGGGAAGGGCACCAGGAAGATGTGGGGCCGAGGACACCCCAAGCATGGAGTCCTGGCGGTGGCCTCCTCCCGGGACTGACATGCCAGTGGGCTGGGGACGAGGGAGCCAAGGAGGTCACACAGCCATACACCCGGGGGCAGTGTGGGCGGGAGCGGTAGGGGGCTGGAGCCTTCAAGCTGGATGTGGAAGAGGCCAGAGAGGGGCACCACAATGACCGGCCTTCTCCGGGGAACCCAAGGCTGAGGGCATGCAAGCTGTGACTGTACATGCACAGAAGAGAGCAGGGTGCACCGCACCTGCCTTCCAAGCGCAAGGTCCTGCGTTCAATTCCCGGTACAAAAAAAAAGAAAAGAAAAAGAGAGAGCAGGGCATGGTGGCTCGCTTCTGTGATCCCAGCACTCTGGGAGGCAAAGGCAGGAGGATCTCAAGTTCAAACTCAGACTGGGTAACTCAATGACTTTTAGAGACCCTGTCTCAAAACATCGATCAATCAATCAATCATTCAGTCGGTCAATCAATCAGGGCAGGGGATGCAACTCAGTGGGAAGGCTCTATGTTCAATCCCCATATGGCAAAATAAATAAGTAAATAACAAAAAGACTAGATGTTAGTTAATAAATGGGTGAGAGGAAGGAAACAGATTTTGCCAGAAATACTTGCATTTAACACAACAATTACCTGTGTGTGCAGGTCTATTACAGGCACTCTTCGTGTATTTTCTTTCTTTCTTTTTTTTTTTGGTACCGGGGATTGAACTCGGGTCCTCGTGTTTGTGCAGCAGGCAGCGGCACCACTGAGCTAAATCCCCGGCCTCTGTTGTGATTTTAATGGGCTTTCCTTTATAGGTGATTTGTTTCTTTTATCTTCAGCTTTTTTTTTTCAGTTCTTTCATTGGTACATTTTAGGTATACAATTCGTTTACATTTATCATTGGGTGCTTCTACCTGTACATAATGCATCTTGGTTCTTATTTTTTCCCCATTCCCTGTGC